TAGAATCTTCTTTCTTTCTCAGAAATACAGATACCATGTTGCCATTGTTGATAAGTCTGCCCATTACTAACCAGGAGTTACTAATAATTTATTTAAATAGAATAGGATCAGGATTATCTCTATCAGAATGTCAATCTCACATTCATATACGTTGAGATAAATATGTTTCTTGTATGCAAAATATTGTTGGATCTTGCTTCTTGATCCATTATGTGAGTGTGTTTCTTTTGATTGATGAATTGAGATCTTTAACATTGATGGTTTTAACTGACATGTATTGACATAGCCTTGTCATGTTATTTTTCTGTTGTTGGCTCCCCTCTTTTTTTCCTTCTCCCTCTGTTTAATTATTTGTCCTACCTGTGAATTTCTTCTTCTGAGATTCATGGTGTTGTAGTTCCTGTTAACTCTTTCTAGATTATCTTTCAAAACATTTTGGAGTGCTGCTTTGATGGTCCAAACTTTCTTCATTTGTTCTTTGTCATGGAAGTATCTTATTTCTCCATTAGTTTTGAAAAATAGTTTTGTGGGATATATCAGTTTGGATCAAAGTCTGTTTGCCTTTAGAAATTTGAAATACTTCCCCTTGAACAGTCCTTGACTTAAAGATTTGTGCTGAGAAGTCAGCTATGATTTTGATGGGCTTTCTTTTATAGGTATTTTGATTCTTTTCCCTAATAGCTTTTAATATTATATTCCTGTGTTTAATTTCTATAATCTGTGTCAGACTGTAGATTTTTTTTGATTGTGGTTAATTGAAGTTCTGTATGTCTCACTTAACTCAATGTCAAATTCTTTTTCTCTACCAGGAAAGTTTTCTGTCATGACATTTGTGAACAGTAATCTCAGGCATCCTGCACCTTCTGGCTAAGACCAGACCCACTTGGCCTGTAGCTGTCAGTGCACCTTCTTGGGCCTGAGCCCATCTGGGAGCCTCTAGATGGATCTAGCCCCCACTAGGAGTTCTGAGATCAGCTGACCTCTCTCCAAGATGGTTCTTAGCCTATTGCTGTCTCACACAAGATGACAGCTCCCTCAGCACCCACTGCCAGCTAGTGTATTCTTTCAGGTCCAGTGGCACATACACTGCTGTGTCTCTGTGGAAGTCTGTGTATTGTCCACAGTCACTGTGTTTCTGGAGGTTTGAATTGTTCCTCTCAGGCAGTGAGTCTTGTCTCTTAAGAAAGCACCACCTGTTGCCTCCTTCTTTATTGAAGTTTCTCTTTTCATTCTCTCTGTAGGCTTCCATCTGAGCTTCAGATCCTTCCTGGGTCCAGGGCATGCACTTCTCTCTTCCGTTTGTTCCTCACCTTGCTATATTCCAGTATCTGACTTAGACTGTTAGAGGCTGTGTCTGTGCTGCTCATCAGTCCATCATTTTGTTGCTCCCCATCTATTGATTATTTTCTTTTTTGTGGGTCAAATTTTCTATTCTCATGCAGTCCACCTTCTTATGGTTATAACCTGCTTGTGCATTTGGATTGCCTTTTATGCATAAAAGAATATACACATTCCCCCGAGTTCTCCAGTTGGGTTGGTCATTCCCTCAATCTGTAGGAAGCAAAATTTTGTCTAATCTTTCAGGCACATTTTATACCTCTTTTGTAGTGTCATTGGGGCTGGAATGAATCTCAACCGAGTTGGGATAAATCTCTTGATCCTCTGTGTTTCCAGTGCCTTTTTGGCTCCTTTAGTGAGGCACCCGTAGGCTCCTGTGAACTTTGGTTTGTTGATTGTTCGTAGTCTTTGGACAGTCATCAGGTTTTAGTAACTTTTGTATCCTTTGGCATGTCTGGCATCATGTCCTGTGCATTCAGTAAGATAGTCCCTGGATATTGATTTACGAGTTTAAAAGCTGATAATCAGAGCAGTTACTCCTGATGTGCTGTGAGATCTGTGTAGTTTGAAATTCCTGGTGGATAACGGAAAAATGGGTTTCTTTTTTTTTTTTTTTTGGTTCCTCCAATGCCTTCAGGGCACTTTTGGCCAGAGGGAGAGGTGTGAGTTTCGAACTCCAGCAACCTGAGGCTGACAGCTTTGTGGAAGCAGCCGCTTAAAGGCCTGAGCTAGGGCCACGCCCCCTGGGTTTCTTTTTAAAAATTATTTTGGATTCATTTATAGTGATATAAAACAACTTTAAAGAAGTTTCTCCTGTTTATATGTGTAGAATTTAAAATTTATGCAAATTTTGTGGCTCTTCTGAATCCTGCAGGGTTTCCTTTTCTTTAATTTTTTCCATTTGAAAGCTCAGGTAGGTCAGGGTTTTGTGCTGGTCTCTAATGTGATGAACCAGCAGCACCAAAGTTAACAGGAGAAGCACAGACCGTCAGAGCCAGGCAGTTTCCTTTTAAGCCAAGTGAATGACCCTGAAGGAACTATCTTTACCTCATGGTGTTTTAATAATGTAATCCTATACTTTCATCATTTATATTAAGTTAAAAAAGAATTTGTAGCAAGGCTCCCTGTAGATTCAGCATATTGACTTATGTACAGTAGGGACATAGGCAGTTGTTATATTTTTGTATATTTCACCTTCATGTAATATGTTACTCTTTCAGTTTAATAAGCTCTGGTACACAACTTTATTTTTTTTCTGTGTAAATTGCATGTCCTCCTTTTATCAGAAATTACCTTACTTACTTTTAAATTTTAAGTTTAAAATACTGTGCTGACACGCTGTAGCTCCAATTAGTATTTTCAGGATATTGGTTATCACAGTAGCATAATTTCAACAAAGTCATTTTTGTAAAGCATTTTATTGGAACCCAAAAGTTCAGGATGGAGTTGTGTGATTTTACCACTTGTCAGCCATCTGGTCTTTTTTTTTTTTTTTTTTTTTATGACCTTCACCTTTTCTTGCCTTATGTGCAAAGTCAGAAGAGTGAAGCTTTTATGTATTGCTGACTTGTGGCAAACACCTCACTTTGTGAACCCTAAAATGAAATGCAAATGCAATAAAATGCACAAAAATATAATATTCTAAGTTAAGTTAGGAATTGACATGCTGATCAGTATTTAAAAAGAGGTTCTCTGGGGGAATATACCCTGACGTGCAGCCTTTGCCTAGCTCACTGGTGCAGTCCCCACCATATTGGCTGTTTCATGCAGGATAGCACCAGACAGGGGCGAAGGAGTGAAGAGATGCGCACACTGGCTCCTGGTGTCTGTATGTCCCTGACCTCTTGAGGGGCCTCACATTTATCTGTGCTTTTTATAGGCGGTGAAGAAAAGTAAAAGCATTCTATTAAAACTTAAACTTGTAATTGAGCAGTTTTCTTGGTGAGAGACTTTATTTTTTAAATTTATTTTTGAAGTGCGAATATAGTTCTCATTGTTGATTCAAAGAGGCATTAGGTCTTAGGTAGATTTTGTGGAGTAAATAAAATATAAATATTTGTCAGAAATTCACAAAAATTCTTCCTTTCAGGAAGTTTTTCTCAATGATTGTGTTCTTACACACTTAATGAAATACATATAATAAATGGAATACATATAAGATAAATATTATATATATATATCATAAAATATATATAATAATAGAAAGAAAAGAACCAGATTCATTTTAGGCATTAAAACATATTTTAAACTGAGCATATACAGTTTTTTACAGACTATTAGTAATTGGTAGGTGTGGCCAGTTAGTATTGGAAATTTCAACCATATTGTTTTTAAAACATGACATTGTATCTTTTGAGAGAGAGAGTGAAGGAGTATTTGAAAATACAGGTGTTAGAATTACTCCTCCTTATGCATTTACTCATTGTATGCCCTTTGGCAACTTTGTAGCTTCAGTTTCAAAAAGAAGGCAGTAAGACAATAATGTGGGCTTCCTGGTTAGGTTGTTTTGAAGATGAAAGGAAAAATTGTACAGAATGTTGGAGAGAGGTGCCTGACTCGTAGTATTTCCATTGTTGTTATTTCAGAATTCTTTAGGTTCACAGTCTGGCAAGTTATGAATCCCATATATGAAATAGTTTATTTCTAATGTTTACTTTTTAGACCTGATTGCAGTTATATTTAAATGAAGAGTAATAGGAAGGTATTTTTCTATGCGCAGTTGATGATAAAATAAAGTGTTTCACATTAAGTTTATAGTTTCTTGGCTATCATAAGCCTTCTAGTGCCAAAGAAGTATCAGTAATTACATTGTACAGAAGCACATAATTCGTTCTTAAAATCCAGGATTTATAAAAACAGGAATGTTAAGCTTCTTTTATAGATGAGGAAACTGATGAGTCAGAAATACCATCTCAGAATTTTCCTTCAGGACAGTTGTCTAACACCTCCTTCCCATTTCAGTAGTTGGTTTCTTTTGATTTTTTAAAAATTGTTTTTATTTTGTGTATTTGGTACAGGGTCTCACTGTGCAGCTGGGAGTCGTAGTGATGTTCTGTTTTTAACTTCCTCAGTGCTGGATTACAGATGTGCACCACCACGCTCAGTCACCGTGGCCAGCTCAGCACTGAGGGTGGGGCCAGCACACCATGTAGTACCAGGGATCCAACCCTGGTCCCTGCGCTTGCCTAGGGTTCTTTTCTTTTGATTCTCCACATACTCAGCCTCCTCTTTTAAGTACTTCATCTCATTTATTTTTTGTTACTATTTTAAAATGTTTGTTTGAGATAGTATTGCTATGTAGTTTAGGCTGGTCTTGACCTCACTATGTAGTTGGCCTCCTGCTTTAGCCTCCTGAGAGCTGGGATTATAGGTATGTGACATCACACCTAACTTCATTTATTATTGTCAAACTGAGTGTTAACTGTCTTTCACTGTTCATATCTGTTATCTTTAGCCTCATTATAATTCCTGTCACTTTGTATGTTTGATATATGCTGTGAGTGACTGAATAAATACAAGGAGTAGTTTTTGCTTAATTTTTAACATATAAATGCTTTGAGAGAATTATAATAGTGAAGTATTTTCCTACAGATATGATGTGATTAGTTTGGTAGAGTTTGCCTGTAACCAGTGAACTTTTTCTTTTCTCCTCTTTATCTTAGGCAGAAAGCTTAGAAGATAAGAATATAGCTAACGTCCATCGTTGTCAGCTGGAGAAGTTGAAATCACAATGTGAGAGACTTACTGAGGAGTTAGCCCAGAATGAAAATGAGAACAAAAAAATGAAGCTAAAATATCAATGTTTGAAAGACAAGCTAGAAGAAAAGGTAATACGAATGAGTGCTAATTTAAGACTGGTTTTGGTCTGGGGATGTAGCTCAGTGATAGAGCACTTGCCAAGCATGCATGAGACATGAATTCAGTCCCTAGTACTGCCAAAAAGGATATTTTAGTTTCTTCTAGAGCATGTTTTATATATTCTGTATTTACATATAGTAGGTGTAATCTTGTCAGAAAAAGAATTCGTTACAATTCTGTAATTTTCATTCTTTCACTTTCCAGTAGATTTGATTTTACATTTTATCCTATGTCTTAAAATTGGAACTTTGAGGTAAAGTAAAAAAAAAAAAGAAAGGAGAAGATTGATGATTTTTGAGGACTTCCTGTGTGTCAGTAAGTTTTGCCAACTGGTTGGTGCATTTTTACCCATTTGATTCTCAGGGCTTTTTGGATAGTGTGTTAGTCTCTTTGCATCACTTTTCCAAGAGATTATAGGCTGGACAGTTGTGGTACAAGAGACATTTGTTGCTTGGGTTTCAGGAGGAAGTCCAGCTAGAAGCACTGGCAGATTCAGTGGGGGTGCACTGTGTCCTCATCGTGCAGGAGGACCAAGAGAACTCTCTGTGTCCTCCTTCCTCTGGGCACTAGTTGCATTGACAAGGGCTTCTCCTTGTGACCTGAACATCTCCCAGGAAACCTACCCCAAATAGATCATATTGGAGGTTAGGTTTCAGCTTACAAATTTTGTGAAGTTACAGATGTTTAATCGATAGCCGGTACTTTCATTGCTCCATGAAGGAAACAAGGTCAAAATAAAGTATTTAATGGTTATGTGTTCTGTGTGCTAACCCTCGTAGTAATTTTTGAAATCAGTACTACTCTCATTTTCGTAATTTTGGACAGTGAAGGTTAAGAAGGTTCTAACTTTGTGCATCCTTACCTGCTTTGTTTTCAGTAATATCTACATTGGTTTTGGGTGACTCCCCCTTACCTCATTTTGGGCAGACTATCAAGGGTTTAGAAGTCAGTACTTTTGAGCCTCTCTTGTGACAAAAAGTCAGCTGATGATAGAGGCCATATTTGAATTTGCTTCTACCAACTTCTGAAAAGAGTTTGCAGTGGAGTGTCACAGAGTTCCACTGAATGAAAGCTGAAAGCAGGATAATGGGAGAAGGTAGGGCAGACATAGGTTATGTGAGTGCTAAACTTGTTGAGGATTAGTCAAGTTTATCAGGAAGGAACTGGGTGGGCTGTTAGAAACTTAAAAAGAAACTTTCTTAACACTTTTATTAACCTTTTAATAAAAAGGTCAATAAAACCTTTTTTGTGTTGTTTGTGAAGTTTTGTGTGTGTGTATAGAAATAAACTAGTTTGGAACTTATGATTGCATATAAATAATGGTTTTGTAGCAGCCAGATTATTGTCCATGGGAGACTGTATTATAGGAATAAGAGTCTTTGTTAATTATTTGCGCACTTCCACCTTTTACAAATTGGGAACGCACGTGGCACGGGTCCTTCTTTCCTTTTGCTTATATAGTTTTCCCAGTTGCCAAAGCGACCATGATGGAATGCAGTACCCACTGGTGTAAGATTCGGCAGGCCATCTTTGAAACAAGGTCACAGGCCTGGGCACAGACATTGATGGCTGTATATGGGCATGCGGTTACCTCTACTTCCTTTACTTAGCTTCTTCCCTTATCTCTTTCATGTTTGTGAAGTTTTAACAAGGTAGGTAAGTTTTAACAAGGAATGAAGGATGGGGCAATTCAGGCAGGGTCAGATAGAGGTGACCAGCCTAGGTGCCCCCTTATTGCTAGAACATTCTGGCAGAGGTCAAACTGAGTTGATTCTGCCTCAGTCTCTTACTTTTAGGGTGAATTGGATACTAAACTAGAGCTTTTGTGGCTTAGGATGAGATTAAACAAGGCTGCCATCCCCTACAATTTGGGTCACATTGTTCCCCCAAAGCCTCATGCAGTCATTGGGGCGGAATTCTAGAGTTTGCGATTAACTCATGATCTGGTGCTGGGATTATGAGTGTGAGTGCTACCCTCGCCCTGGGGTGGGTAATCTGCATAAAATATGAGGAAGAGAGAGAGTCTTGCTAGCTGCCACCGCTGCTCCTCCCTTTGCTTTTTGCTGTTTTTCCACCTCCATGAACAGCTGCCCTCTGCCATGTGCCACTCTGCCTTAGACCAGGCAAGTATGGACAGAAGCCTTCACAAATTGTAAGCTAAATAAACCTTTCCCTCCTTAATTTTGGTGGGGTGTTTTGTCCCAGTAACAAGAGAGAAGTAACTGAGACTATATATTTAACATGCTAAATTTCAGCCTGCAGTCTTGACAAAAATAGCTGCAATTTAATTCTTATGTCATTCTTTGTTTTGATTATATCTAATATTTGTACAGATTCAATGTGTGTCTGTTGCCAGGATGTAGTTACTGTGGAGATGATGCTGAAATTTCCCACTTTTCTCTAATTAACATATTAGCTGGAAATTATGTTAAAATGTTTTGTATTTACTTATCTGCCTCTATGAAAAATGTGATTTACTGAAACTGTGATAATTACCTTGCTCTACTTTTAAGTGTTTTTTCACTGATCCTATTTGTGATGTTCCAGATATGCATGTTTTATCACACTTTGCTACAAATGGAGCATTTACCTCAGAACAGGTTTTGAGGAGTTAATGATTTTATTAGGATGCCTTGTCTTGAGTGCCACTTATGTGGCTAATATCATGTCGGGTCCTGAGAATAGGGTCTGGGTAAAAGCCAGAATTGCAGCTGACCCTTTCAGTTAGTTAAAAAATGGTTGAATATCCCTTCAACATGCTTGAAAACAAAAGTATTGCAGATATTGGAGATTTGCAGATTTTGGAATATTTGTATATATATTATTTATTTACTTTTTGTGGGGCTGGGGATTGAACTCAGGACCTTGCACTTGCCAGGCAAGTGCTTATTCTACTGAGCTATCTCCCTGCCCCTTTCTTTATATTTTATATATATCATTTATACACAGCCTGAAGATAATTTTATTCAATAATTTTAGGTCTGCATATTTTTTATGAAAACTTATATGAGGTCAGGTGTAGAAGTTTTCAATTGTAACATCCTCTTGGTGCAAAAATGTTTAGAATTTCCTGGTGTTTTGGATTTTGTGTTTTTGGGTCAGCAGTGTTCAACCTGTACTTAAATTTTGATGGTGTATGTTGGTGATGGTGAACCTTTTAGAGTGTTCACTGATAATAAACAGCTGGCTGTGACTTGTGTGCCATCGTTTGGCCACCACTGGTGTGTGCTAATGCAGAGTGAAGGCGCTCTGTCCACTTCAAAATGGTGTATAATATTCAAGGTCATGTACACACAAAGCTCATTATGAAAAGTGATGTGTCATTTGCATATAACCTGCACATATCTTCATATATACTTTAAGTCATCTCTGCATATAGACACAGTATTGAATGCTATGCTAGTCATTATGTAGTATTATATATTTAGGGAATAATGACAAAGTAGTCTATACATGTGCAGTATGGATAGAGGAGCTTTTTGGAGGGGTTATTTTTAATTTACCCTTGGTTGAATTTGTAGAGTTGAAGCCCATCGATATGTAGGGCCAACTATATAGCCTATTTTTTCCCTTATATTACGTTTGGTATATATGATTGTTATCCATGTCTGGTTGACTTAACTGTGTTGACATATTCATAGTTGAGAGAGTTATGAATTAAATTTTTATTGGGTTATGACATCTAAAGATAGAGCCTTTTTCTTTGAGAGATAGCATAGCATCACTATTATCTGTACAAATATCAGTTTTGAATCATTTTTTGTGTATCTTCACTTATGTTACCTGAAACTCAAACCCTCAGTCTTTTCATCCTTAAGATATTGTGATCAAATTTTTTGTAGAATTAAATGTGAATATATATATATATATATATATATATATATATATAATGCCACATACGATACTTGGTATCTAATATATCAGTTAATGGTAGTTGCCATTATTTTACTATAATTGTGTTCATAAATATATAGAAATTAGTGGTTCAAACAATGAATCACTCAATTATCTAATCATCAAATATTGACAGTATCTTTGCTGTACTTAAAAAATTTTTCATAATAATAGTAGTGTCGAGCTAGCAAAAGAGACCTAGAATTTTGCTTCAAAAGTTTAGAGGCAGAATATTTTGAATCCTTTGATAGTTTACCATTACTCACGTGAAAGAAATAAAGGATCATCAGTGATGATATCGAAGGCATAAAGACAACTAGGCCAAACAGCTGGGCAGTTTTGTAGATATGCTTGCTTAAGGAGAGGGATCACATTCTGATTATTTTTCCATCTCTAAGGCCAGGCACAGGACCTGACACAGAGTTGGTAGCTCATAATTAATTATAGACACAGTGATGTGTGTGTATATATGTAGAGACAGACAGACAGACACGCATGCACGCATGCACGCACGCATGCATGCACACTTGCCAGACTAGGTAAAAGATAAAACAATAATGTGTTTTCAGTGAAGGAAACCTAGGGACTATTATCTTGGAGATTTAAGCAATGGGATTCACTTGCTAAATGCTGCCTTATAGACTAAAGGGGACTTAAATTGTGGCTTTGTTTTACTGAAAAGGGAAACTTTTCTTGCTTGCCTGACTAAATGATGCTTTTCCTAATAAATGCAATTTTTGAAAGGTTTTACTCTTGATATGTGTGATTTTTCTTAGTCTATTTCTTGCCATATTGTTCTTACTTGCTAAACTAAACAATATTGGAAATGCATTGAAATTCATCTGAAGTTGGCACTAATGATTACATTAATCAGTGGTGGAAGATGGCTCTTAGAGTCTATTTGTGAAAAAAGTAAGTATGGCACACTTTTCCTCATGGATTCAGTGGTGGGATGTAGTACTAAAAGGCATTTTTTTTTTTTCTAACATCTGATTTTGCTTCTCAAATATGTTTTACTCTTATATGACAAAGAGACTAGTATAATGCAACCTACAGAACTTTTACATACACATTT